TCATAAATTACTGGCATATGACAAAAAATTCAAGACTGCTTTAAAGTTACTTGGAGTTTAAAATTCTCTTTGTTCCTTTATTTAGAAAAAGAGTAATTTTGTCTAAATTTAGAAGTTTTGAAATAATTATCTAAAATATGTAAGTTTGAGGAAGACACTAAAAATGAAAGAAAGGATCAGTAAGCAGGGGAGAGAAAAGTGGAGAAATTCTGAGGATATATAGATTTTACAGTTTTTTTTTATTTTTTTTTATTTTTTGACAGGCAGAGTGGACAGTGAGAGAGAGAGACAGAGAGAAAGGTCTTCCTTTGCCGTTGGTTCACCCTCCAATGGCCGGCGCACCGCACTGATCCGATGGCAGGAGCCAGGTGCTTTTCCTGGTCTCCCATGGGGTGCAGGACCCAAGCACCTGGGCCATCCTCCACTGCCCTCCCGGGCCACAGCAGAGAGCTGGCCTGGAAGAGGAGCAACCGGGACAGGATCCGGCGCCCCGACCGGGACTAGAACCCGGTGTGCCGGCGCCGCAAGGCGGAGGATTAGCCTAGTGAGCCGCGGCGCCGGCCCGATTTTACAGTTTTTTATCTATGTATCTGAGAGACAGTGAGGGAGAGGGCGGGGGAGTCCTCAGCTGTGATTCCCTGCCCAGACGTCTGCGCCAGCTGGGAGAGGATGAGACTCGACCCAAGTCCCACAGGACTGGCAGGGACTCGGGGACCCGAGCCCTCACCCTGGCTCCCCAGGGCCCGCACTGGCGGAAGTGCGGGTTAGGAGCCAGAGGCGGGTGTGACCCCAGGCTCTCTGGGGGGTGTCTCAGCCAAGGCTAAGACCTGCCTGTGAGGGCACAGCACGCCGGGGCTGTCGAGACAGACTTCAGTGCTAGGTTTTTGTTCCGAGCTAGAGTGACTGCATCACTCAGACAGGAGATGAAGACAAGCGAGGCTGTGGCGTGACTGTCGCAGACAGTGTCTCGGGGAGGCGGAAGCTATCCGCTCTCTCCCTCCCTCCACAACTCTCTCAAATAAATAAACTCTTAAAAAAAAAAAAAGAAAAGCCTAGTTTATAGGTTTCTCAAAATCAAGCAATGATACACGAATATAAAGCAGAATTTAATTCTCTATGTTTAATTGACGTTTTTAAATAGTGATTAGTTTTTAATGAAGATGTACAGGCCCTGGCCTGGGGAGCAAAGATGACTGTGTTCCGTTATCGCAGCTTCTTGTGCTTTCTAGTGTCTCTACTGGGTTTTGGTTACTTAGCAAGGACCAAATCATAAAAGGGGCTTTGTTTTTGTTTGTTGAGATCTATTTGCTTTTGAAGCCTTCTCAAGGCTCATCTTGCAATTCGGGTTAAATCTGATTAAACCACTCTATTTAAATGAATGACCACATCTTCACAATGATGTGTGACCTTATTATTTTTTAATTGTGCATTTTAAAATTTATTTTTGAATCTTATTTATCAATGCTCTAATGTACGTACATACCTTTGTGTGACCTAAATAATATGTAATCAGTTGATACATTTTTGTAGTGTGAGGAATTAGTTATTATTTGGTATACCCTATGTGCCCATTAAAGTTCTTCCTAATTACAAAATATTTCAGATATACATATTTCACATATTTTGCCACATTTGCTCCTGATTTTTAGAGAAATAAAATGCTACTCTTTTGTACTCCTCCCTGGCACACTTCTCCTCCTGGTCCTTCTCCCGCACCCTCCCTCTCCCTTCCTGCCCCTGAACTCACCTACCATTCTGAAGCTGGTGTGTCTCCCCGCAGTCAAGAATGTATACTTCACCACAGGTGTATCCACACACAGTACGGAGCGCTTCTTTTAAAAACGTATATTCAGGGGCCAGCGCTCTGGCTTAGTGGGTTAGAGCCCTGGCCTGCAAGATTGGCATCCCATATGGGCGCCGGTTCAAGTCCTGGCTGCTCTACTTCCAATCCAGCTCCCTGCTAATGCACCTGGGAAAGCAGCAGAAGATGGCCCATATGCTCGGGCCCCTGCACCCATGGCGGACAATCCGGAAGAAGCTCCTGGCTCCTGGCTTCAGATCGACTCAGCTCTGGTTGCTGTGGTCATTTAGGGAGTGAACCAGCAGATGGAAGATCCCTCTCTTTCTCTGTTTCTACTTCTCTCTGTAACTCTTTCAAATAAATAAAATAAATCTTAAAAAAGTTTATTTTAAAAAAGTATATTTATGATTTCCTACCATAATTTAATCTTCTGTAACTTGCTATTTTATTTAACTGCTGTTTAATATCATATCAGACCTTTTAATTTGAAAGTCAGAGATAACAGACAAAGAGGGAGAGACTGAAAGGGTGTGACGTTATTCTTATCAGATGTCTTAAACCTTTGATGCTAAATCTTCAAGTTACACTTATTTGGCTATGTTATTGATGTGGATGTTCTAAAGATTATATAAAATGTATAAAATTCTAGTGTTCGTGGTAAGAAACTGTTGGTTATGATTGTTGTAATGTATGAAATCAGAACAGTTATACTTTCTTGTCAATTGCTGGACTCTCTTCAAAATTTTAACTACTTTAAGTGTTTTGTCGTTCATGTTTCAATTTTTCTCCAAAAATTTTATAGTCAGATCCACAGGGAAAAACTCTAACAAGTACTCTCAAATTCAGTTTTCTGAACAAATTGAATTAACTTTACAAATAAATAGCTTTTTCTTTAATTATTTTTGGACAAATTGTTACTATAGAAAAAGTATGTCTGTTTCTTGAATCACAACTATTATGCACACTGGATTTGTTACGCCCTTACTGGTTCTGTTGAATATTTTCTGTTTTCAACTTTGTTCCTGCTGCCTGTTAAAAACCTGTAAAGTCCAGCTCCTAACAAAATAGCACTGACCCAGTGCTTTATTGGCAACTGTGCCCTGCAGTACGGAAGTTCAACGTGACAGCGAGCTCCTGGCAGCCTCGGCCGAGAACCTCTCCTGAACCTCTCCACCGCTCAGATGTGGCGAAGGGGCTTTGACATCGTCCCTTGGTTGTCCCCACTTCCCTCCCAGTGTGGGACCAGACCAGACCAACACCCAGGACGACCTCATCCCGGGAATGACGGACGGTCCCAATCCAGCTGCAAGGTGACTGATCAGCAACACTCTCAGAGGACAGCGCTTGAGCAACAGGTGGGATGTGGCAGCAAAGTGAAATTCGCCAGAATCAGGGGCTGGTGTTGTGGCACAGTGGGTTAAGCTGCTGCCTGTGACACCAGCATCCCAAATCAGCACTGGTTCAAGTCCCAGCTGCTCCACTTCTGATCCAGCTCCCTGCTAGTGCACCTGGCAAAGCAGTGGAAGATGGTACAGTACTTGGACCCCTATTACTCATGTGGGAGACCCGAACGAAGCTCCTGGCTCCTGGCTTCTACCTGGCCCGGCCCCAGCCTTTGGAGTCATTTGGGGGCTGAACCAGCAGGTAGAAGATCTCTCTCTCTCTCACGTCCTTTCAAATAAATAAATAATTCTTTTTAAAAAATATTATCAGAATCAAAATGAAGTTGTCTGTGTCAACGCTTAAAACAATCTGGGTGCTTAGAAAGAGAGGGTTCTCACGGGTGGTTGCCTCTGAGTGAGCGCCGCGAAGCCTCTGGCAGAGCGGCCACCTGAGACAGAGCGTCCCCCTCCAGGACATCTGCCCAGCCTAACCCCCAATGTCACCCTGCTCGTTAGTCACCGTGGCCAAAGGGCATCATGTCAAACTGTCTGACGCAACCTCCTCGTCTGTGCCTTCGGAAACTTTGCCCTGCCTCAGCCTGTTTGAACACACTCATGGCCGCTGTGACATGCGTGTTCCCACCGCAAGGTCTGCTAGGCCCCAGTGAATGGCAGTATCCTGTAGACGCTCTCTCTCTCTCTCTCTCTCTCTCTCTGCTGATTGTTTCTTTGGTCATTTAGGCTGACACAGCCATCGCTATGTATCTGAGATTCAGGTTAACATGTTCTATCTACTTACGTATTTCCAGCTCAATACTTAGACTAAGATAGTATTTAATATAATTTATATGTAGTAGATTTATTGTATAAAATAAAAGATCTTTAAAAAGTTCATGGAAAATGCATTTGATATAAAACTATGTATGGATTTCAAGATTTTCCTGCACCAAAATAAACTTAGCTTTTAATCCCATTCTTCCACAAACTTTTGGAAGTTTCTACACATGTAGTATATACATTTGGCATGATACATGATGCATATTCAGCATATACATTTAGTATTTACTGATTTTTTTAAAGATTTATTTTATTTATCTCAAAGGTAGAGTTGCAGAGAAAGAAACAGAGAGAGAGAGAGAGAGAGAGCGAGCTTCCAGCCAGTGGTTCACTCCCTAAATGGCCACAACAGCCAGAGCTGGGCCAGACTGAAGCCAGAGCCAGGAGTTTCTTCTGGGTCTCCCACGTAGGTGCAAGAGCCCAGGGACTGGGGCCGTCTTCTGCTGCTTTCCCAGGGAGCTGGAGCAGAAGCGGAGCAGCCGGGACTCGAACTGGCACCCACATGGATACCAGCTCTGCAGGCCAGTTTACCCTGCTGCGCCACAGCACTGGTTGTTTATTTATTAACTTATTTCTGGCTGAACACCTATCCTAAAAACTCGTTTGTTGTCATGAAATTCAAATGTAGCTGGGTGCGCACTCTCTCCTCCCCACCCTCCCCTGTGCCTCTGGAGGCGTCTGGCGGCCCCTCTGGGGTGGACCTCTTTCTCGCAAGGCCTGGGCCCTGGGGTTTGCTTCCCAGGGCCGGCAGCGGGCCTGAGCCCCTTCCCCTGCGCACTCGGCCTCCGCACCTAAGGCTGCCCCTGCAGACCGGCGGAGCCTCCGCCAGCTCCCCCTAGGGGCCAGCAGCCCCACAGCGCCTTCCTCTTACCCCGGGTCATGGTCATTGTTGCTGGGAAAGGGTGCAGTTCCAGAGAGGGGGGGGCTGGGGGCTGGGGCAGCGAGGCGGGAGCGCGGGAGGAGGGAGGCGCGGGACCCACCCATGTTCCAGGTGCCGATGAAGATGGTGATCATGTCGGGCTCGGGCTGCTCCGAGTGCTTGTTCTTCATCTGCTGCAGCAGCTGGCAGAAGCCTTCTCTCTTCTGGGGACGAAGGGACACAGACTGAGCCAGGCCTCCGCCCTGCCCCTCCCCGCCTCGCCCATACCCCTGCAGAGGACTTGGGCAGCTCCCCGCAAACTGAGAACAGCGGGCAGCAGAGCCAGCTTCCAGGACAGCAACCTGCACGCAGGCGTCCAAAGCCCTGAAGGCAGGCGGCTTCTCCGACCCTGTCATTCCCTGCACCGAGATCCAGCCCTGCCGGGCCCCCCACGCGTTCTGCAATACTGAAGGAGCTGCACGTGCAGTCACAGGGGCTCTCCATAAGCTAGAACGGGGCGCAATTACGGCGCAGCACGCTTTGTCACCACGGCCAGACGGTCACGACCTACCATTAAGTACCAAAAGCTACTTGCACACACAGTGTGAATGGCATCATTGCCGTTTTATTTGTCAAAAATATCTGAAAAGCTGTAATCCAGGCCCATGGGAATTGTGATTTTAAAGGTGCTTATTTGGACTAGCTGCTTTTCCACCAGTTAGAAGAGATTACTTATGGAATAAAGGGAAAATGTACATTAAAGAAATTAATTAAAACAAACAGAGTATACAAAGCGACCTAGCTTCCTTCACGGTCTCCAGGTCCTCAGAGGAGCCCAGACCAGGCTTGGTCTTGTCCTCGGTTGCAGACCACAGGGTTGGCTGACTTTAAGCGAGAGCACACAACATTTCAGGTTGTGCCATCGGAAAGGACCAACGTTTGCCTGTTTCTAAGGCCGCACTTCCCTGGGACCCAGCCTCACGACTGCACATCCGCTGTGAAGCTGGCAGCCCCCAGGGGATGCAGTCATGGTGGGGGTGCCTCAGATTCAGGATCGCAACCCCCAGAGCTTGCAGCAGTGGGCGGAGCTCCTGGGGTTTGCACCTGTGCGCACCGCCTGCCACGGTGCCTGGCTGGGTGCTCTTTCTCTTCTTCTCCCCACCCATCCAGCCCGCACTGTGTTTCTTGCAGCCTCTTCTGTGGTTGCTGCCAGCTCTGGGCACCGCATCCCTCTCGGCACATGTCCCTCCCCCCGACTTTGCCCGGCCATTCATCCCCCGGGCACACGGAAGCAGGAGCACCTGCAGGCCCTCAGTCTTGCAGAAGTGTCCAGCAGCTGGGGTCAGCCAGCGCTCCTGTGACGGGCGCCCTCACTGCTCTGCGATCCCCCCTCACCGTCTCACACCAGCTGCACAGAGGTGCACAAACAGTGAGGCCGCCATGCAGGGACTGCTGAGTGAGCAATCACACTGACCCCCGCTGGGACAGCCAGGGGCCCGCCTGGGTCCGTCACGGGGCCCACAGTGCCTCCTTCTCCCGAGGCCAGCCCCCAGGGGGCTACCTACTTCCTCACAGTGGGCCAATGGTAGACACGGATGTCTTGGGGAGGGGGCACTGGTCAGACTCAGGTTCAAATCCAAGGGTGCCCCAAAGGGCTCCCAAGTTCAGCCCAGAAAGGCCAAGTCTCCCCGCGACCCTGGGCTCAGAGCTGCCCCTCTTGCTCTGCAGGCAGCCTGGCAGACTGGTTGGCACACACGGGCAGGACGGCCACAGCCATGACGACGGATCCCTGCTGACCGGGAACACACGGTCCTCCACCTCTCTGAGCTCAGCTTTCCCTGCTGTGAAATGGGTTTTTGCAGGAGAACTGGGTGAGCTAGCGATGTGCACCCCACATGCCCCTCACGTGCTCTCAGGCCCTTGTCGGAGGTTGGGGTCCCTTACTTTGGAGTCAGCAAAGACGTATTCCTTCCGCTGGATCTTTTCCTTCTCCGTTTCCACCAGAATCACCAACTTGTTCAGAAACTTCTGCGACTTGATCAGCTGCAGGACTGGAGAGAGGCAGGAGTTATTCATTCACACATCCAGCTACCCCTGTGTTCTGGGTCCCTAACCATCACCCCCAGACTGAGCCCTGAGTCTGTGTGCAGCGCCCCAGATCCCTCTGCTCCTGGCTACGCTTCTCTGCAGGGTCCGTGCCTGGAATAACCAGAGGTGGCCTGGCCAGAACACACAGCCCAAGTGGTCATTTCCCATTTCCCCTCCCTCCGTCTTCCTCCTCTGCTCTCTCCCCTCCTCCTCCCTACCTCATTTCCCTTTCTTTCTCTTTTCCTTCCTTCTTCACTTTTAATTTACATCTCACTTAATTTAAAATTTTTATTCTTTATTTGTATCAACAATTGAGAAAACCAAGTTGTTCTGTAAGATTTCTGTAAACAATAACATCCCTCCAGCCCCACTTCCCTCTGTCCTGCTTCCTAGACACAACTAATTTCAACTCTCTTCATGGATTCTTCTAGAATTTTACTCCGTATTTTCAAAAAACATATTCAGGATACCGCCTTATGATGTTTCTATTTTATATGTTTCCTATTACATATTGACTTTCCACTATGGAAAATAATAGTTGACTTCTCACACACAGCCTGTCTTTCCAGCCCCCTCACTCCCTATCAATGCATAATTTCAGTCCTTTCAATCATTATATCATAATTTTGGCCAGATAAGCACTCACTGTGTATATTACTATGACTACAGAAATGCTATTTGCAGACCAACTCTGAGTGATTTTCTTTCTCTATCCAACTTTCTGTTTTTCCTGGAGTTAACAATTGCCATGGTGTTTTCGCTGGTCCTGACTCTCCTCTGGGTTGTAACTCTCTTTTCTGTGTGACCAAGCGCTTTCACCCTGTGGGAGCCTCTCAAAGATCCCCAGGGACTTCTGTTCTTGGAACCAGTGGTCTCTAGGCCTGACAGAGAAATTTTCCTTGGGGGCTTTTCTGCTCTAACATCCAGGAACCCATCAATCTCTCTCTCCTCTCCCTCTCCTCCCCCGACCAGGTCCTGCTTCTTATATCTCAGATCTTCCTCTCCCTTGTCTCACACGTGTTCAGTCAGCTTTCTATTATTACAACAAACACCTGAGGACAGCTGCATAGACTTGAAGTTTTGCTTTTGCTCACAATTTGGAGGGTCACAATCCGAGACTGAGCAGCCTCATCAGTGTCAGGTCTGATGAGGGCAACGGAAACAAGCAGAGAGAGACTCACATGGAGAGCCAGGAAGCAGAGAGGAAGCTAAGCAGAACACAGCTTAAATAACTCACCTCCCAGGAACTTCCTTCCAAGGGCAGGCCTTCCTCTGTGCTCAAGACTCATTAGCCAAAGACCATTAACATAGATTTGGGGGACCAAGCCTCCATTACATGGGCCTTCTAGGAACAGCCAGGCTATTTCCCAAACCGCAGCAACACCCTTATTTTATTTATTTTCATTTTTTAACGATTTATTTATTTATTTGAAAGGCAGAGTTACAGAGAGGCAGATGCAGAGAGGTCGTCGACCCACTGGATCACTCCCCAAATGGCCACACGGCTGGAGCTGCACTGATGCAACGCCAGGAGCCAGGAGCTTCTTCCAGGTCTCCCACGTGGGTGCAGGGGCCCAAGGACTTGGGCCATCTTCCACTGCTTTCCCAGGCCACAGCAGAGAGCTGGATCAGAAGTGGAGCAGCCGGGACTCGAACTGGCACCCATACGGGATGTGGGTGCTGCAGACCGGGGCTTTAACCAGCCCCAACAGCCTCATTTTAGTACAGCAACATCTCCAGCAGATTTCCAAGAAAGGAAGAATGGATGATATGTTTCTGGAGACCTTGCATGTCTGAAAATTCTACCCTCACACTTCGCTGACAGAACTTGACGTTGCAATCGTCTTCCTCGGGACACCGGAGACCTTGCTCTGTGGTCTCCAGTTTGCAGGCTGGCTCCTGAGGAGCATAGCTCTTCCGATTCTCCTGTGTGCAGAAACCCCCACACACCTGAAGTGCTATCCTTATCAGGGCTTGGTTGCAAAGGTTGGCCCTTGGGAACTTGGATTCAGGGACAGCTCCCGCCATCGCCCATTCCCAGAACGGATGCGAGGCTTGCTGGGCCTGTACTGTCTGTGCACACGATATGGCCTGGGCTGACTGCCTGTTTTCCTGCAGGAGGTCTGGAGTCTGGGAGCCTTCCAGGCAGAGGGTGTCTAAACAACCAGCCCCCGGTTAGACCCTTGGACACTGGGTGCCCAGCGAGCATTGCGCATAGATCATATTTCACACACGCTGCCACAGAGCACTGGGGAGGAAGTGAGAGACCGGTGTGACTCCATGAGAGCACTCTTCCAAGCGTATGCGTGGTTCCCTGGGTCTCTGCTCTCTGCTGATGTTGGCAGCCTAAGAGATCAGAGCTGGGAGCAGGGTTGTATGAGGAGCCCTGGGAGTTCTCCCTGTGTGTCGCTGAAGCGAGGGGTGGCCTTGGGAACCCTCGTCACCGGTGTTAGTCTCTCCTTTGCTCTGGACACTTTTTTTTTTCCAAAAGAGAAGAATAATTTATTTCATCGACTCAGAGATTTACCATTGCTGTCGCTTCCTTTCCAGTCTTCCAGGCTACCTTCTGATATTATTTCATTTCTTTCTAAAGGATTTCCTTCATTTTTTTACTTTTGGAAGAATAATCTGTCAACAATTCAGCCTGATTCAAGATTATGAAAATACTATCATAGACAGATGTAAGAATTGCTTCCCAATATAAAACTTAACATTTCTTGAGGGTGGATACCCAGATGATCAAGCTCCAATTAAGGATATGCAATTGTTTCCTTGGGTGCTTCCAACAGAGCAGGTGTGCTGGCAGCGCCAGGTCTTTGGTATTCCGTCATCTGAGAACGTCTTTATGGCACCTTCACTCCGGAAGGACGTGTTCACTGCGTATATAATTCTGAATTGATAGCACTTCTCAAATCACTGTTTCCTGCCTTCTGTTCTCTGTAGTTTCTCAAGAGAAACAGCGGTCATTTGAATTACTCTGCACATTATATGTCATTTTTCTCTACTTGCGTGGAAGGTTTGTCTTTGTCTAGCTTTAGTGGCCTGAGTGTGATATGGCTGGACATGGATTGTCTTGCATTTATACTGTTTGAGGTCACTGAGCTTCTTGAATCTGTAGGCTTCTCTCCTTCTCATTCGCTCTCAGAGGAAAGCTGTATTAACTGTCACAAGCGAAGCAGACAGTAGGAAGCTCCCAAACTCCTGAAGCCAAACTCCTGAAGCTTTTATCCATTATTTCTTCAAGTGTATTTTGAGACCCATACTATTTCTCTTCTGGCATTTCAATGACACTGATGTTAGATTTTTTGGTAATATTCCACAGGTTTCTGAGGCTCCGTTCATTACTTCTTCCCTTTTTTCCTGTTATTCAGCTAAGATCATCTCAACTTATCTAGCTTCCATATTTATTTGACTTTTTTTCCCCATCATTTTCATTTTGCTGCGAAGTCCATCTGCTCTGGGCACTTTTAAGATCTTTCTTTGGGCCGGCGCCGTGGCTCACTAGGCTAATCCTCTGCCTTGCGGCGCCGGCACACCGGGTTCTAGTCCCGGTCGGGGTGCTGGATTCTGTCCCGGTTGCCCCTCTTCCAGGCCAGCTCTCTGCTGTGGCCCGGGAGTGCAGTGGAGGATGGCCCAGGTGCTTGGGCCCTGCACCCCATGGGAGACCAGGAGAAGCACCTGGCTCCTGCCATCGGATCAGCGCGGTGCGCTGGCTGCAGTGCGCCAGCCGCGGCAGCCATTGGAGGGTGAACCAACGGCAAAGGAAGACCTTCCCCTCTGTCTCTCTCTCTCACTGTCCACTCTGCCTGTCAAAAAAAAAAAAAAGATCTTTCTTTGAACCCAGCGTTGAGACTTTCTGATGTTGAGGGTGTCTCCTTCAAGCATGGCTGGGTACAGGGGTTATTTTCAACCTAGAAACTACTCAGTTCTGAGAATTTCCTGAATTGTTCCTTTTAAAAAATTATTGATTTTTATTTGAAAGACAGGGGGGAGAGAGATAGAGAGAGAGAGAGAGGGCCCATCTGCTGGTTCATACTTGAAATGCCTGCCATAGTCGGGACAGGGCTACATGTCCTTCCAGGTCTCCCATGCGGGTGGCAGGAGCCCACGGACTTTAACCATTGCTGCTGCCCCCCAGGATCTGCATGGACAGGAAGCTGGAGTCAGGAGTAGGAACTGGGAATCGAACCCAGGTCCTCCGATGTGGGATGAGGCTGTCTTAACCACCGGGCCAAACGCCTGCCCTATGTCTTGTCTTCTTGTTCACTTGGTGCAACACTGTCTCCCACTCTGGCTGCCCTCGGGTCTGGGACCCTTGGCTCTGTGTGTTGCAGCAGGGGTGGTGGGGTGGGGCCGAGCTCCTGCACCGGGAGGTCTGATGGCCATGCCTTTCCCTCTCCGCCCCTGGGCTGGTCAGGTTTCCCAGAGAAGACTCCTCCAGCCTCCTGCTTAGAGGGGAGCGGAGGGCCCGGTTGGCAGCCCCAGGAAGACGGCTGGCTCTGCCTGCAGGAAGTAACTGTCACTCAGTCCCCTGTTTTGTGGGGTCCCCCGCCTCACCGGCCCGGGTGTCCCTAGGCCTCTCCTTCTCTTAAGACCAAACATCCAGTCTTCTGCGAGTTGTCTGAGGCCCTGGCTGTGTGGGGGCAGACCGAGCAGGTCTAACTCTCAGAATAGATTTTCCCCCAGGGCTGCTGCTCTTAGCCCGCCTTCGCCCCTCTCCTGGGCCCCTGATGCTATCAGGCCCCGAGCCCTTTTGTGGGTTCTGTGGTGGGAGTCAAGTGTCTCAGCGCTTCCTCCCACACACTCCGGCTATCGTCACCCATCCGCCTGCCAGCTTCTACCCTGCTCACTTTGTCTCTTTCTGGCCTTTCGGGAGGGACCTGGTGACGGTGCACACGTTCAGCTGGAAGTCTCGCCGCGTGCCCGCCGGAGGGAGTCCTGCTGGCCTCATCAGCCGCGGCTG